TCTCCTTGAATTTTTCAAAATTTACACTCGGGAACTACTGACTAGTCATTGCTAGGCCATAATTGGTGAGGGCTCAAAATTTGTTTTTTACATAATTTCTAGGTAAGCGTGGCGAATTGGGAAATAACACTGTTTGCAACAACTTAACCCTCTGCGATCCGTTCATTGAATTGGTACTGCGATTTATCCATTAAATAGGAAGTTAAACCCGCCATCTGCTTGCTTGTATGCAACCCTTGAGAGGGGGGGGGGCCTTTGACAACCTTGCTGACCAGTGGTTACTGTTAGCATTTATTACCCCTCGGACTACTCCATCTTTTTCATCGACAGTGAATGTGGGGGGGGGAGGGATTTGGTTTTATAAAAAGATTTTTTTTTAAGTTTGAGAAGAAGGAGAAACACATAAGTGGGAAAAAGTAAAATTATCAAACCGGAAATGTTTCGGTCCATGAAATCATATACATTTCTTGCCAGAGCCATACCTGGATTTTATAAGTTTTGAGCTCTCACTGTGAGGCTTCAGCGTCCTTTGTACATTCCCTGCTCTCTGTTATGCTTTTTACTGTTGCTGCAGTATTTCAAACGCTGATGGTGATATTATTTCACAATGAAAATACAACAATAAAACACACAATACAATATCGTTTGTGTGTGTGTGTGTTTTCTTCCCGGAATGTATTACGATGGCAGCAGCACCGCAAACGCTGGATACCCATGCTGATATGCTCGGGCAGTCTTGCCCTTCTTGGTGTCACTGCTAATAGCAGTTGTTTGATTGCCCTCTAATGCACCAGGAGTAAGAATTAACGATTTCAGGCTGTAGAAGCGGAAGACTCTGTGGGTGAATCCAGAAGGGCCGGGGGAGGACGGGAAGGGGGGAGGGGGAGACGGAAGGTCTTCCGCCCCCTCCTGTCTTCCTGTCCTCGAATGGCAGAGGTACCAGTGCTGCAAAAACCCGGATCTGTTCGTAAATAAAACTAAAGTAATTCTAAGTAGCAGTGTTACAACTCTATTCCCA